ATTCGTTTCACACTGGTCGCGAGTTTGTGCCCGAAATGGGCCAGGTGTTGGTCGATCAATTTACCAAGGTGGTGCCCGAGCGCACTGCCCGCGGTCCTACCAGTCGTTGGCTGTCCTCATCGACGGCAACACTTTGTTTGACTAATACTGGGGGCGACGACAGCGCCGATGGATTCTCAGCGGCCGAATGTTATGCAAATATTTTGTTGTCTCCCGTATTGGTTAAGGAGGCCGTCGATCGCTTGCCCGCCGACGCTCTGGTCGTTAATATCGCCGCCGACTCTCGTTTACGAGACGTCGCTCTAAGCGGTCGACCGCAGGAACTGTATGTGAAAGAGTCGGTGGAGAGTCGGGCGCCAGTCGTGGGTATTAATCATTGGTTCCGTGAGATCGGACTCGTGTTTACGGCCGGACACTGGCCTCGAATTAACGATTTGAAAGCACAACTCACTCCTCAAACTTCACTTCAGTGAAGGCCAGCTATTATTGAATTTATTTGTTATGATAATAGTTTTACTAAACTAACTTGTTAAATATTACGTTGATTTGTGCATTTAAGATACAAAATAAATTAAAAATACCGGATTTACAATGGTTTGCATAATGAATAAAATTCTTTATAATTTGTTTAAAATTTGTTTCATTTCCAAAATATTTGTAAAATTTGTTGAATAAATAAATAAAATAAATTAAAACGTTTTTATACAACATCTTATTATTGTATTTGGTTTAAGAATAAAAAATTTCTCTCATATTATCCCATATTTTATACATAAGTTTTCAATTCACTGACATTTTATTGAAGTCATATAAATGTTTAATAAAAATTTTCAAAATTATTTTCCTGTAAGATTTGGCTTTCCCATACCAGATAATTTCCTAGTGGATAACATTAGCCCATGTTAAATCTATGGAAAAGCTCAATAGGATTAACATTACCCATGTTAAGTCTACGATATAGAATTAACATTCAATCGAGTCCTTTATAATGAATGTGCTGTATTGAAATTATAGCGGATATTTATAGTTATATATGGTATTTAGTAAATATTTAGTACATAAACACTTATGACCTTGGACAACGAAGATAAAATATTACTTATTTAAATAAATTTTTGAAATTTTTTTCTCAGTTTTAAAGTTTCTTCAGTTTTAAAAAAATTAATACTTTAAATTTTAATTAATCACAATAAATTTTATAAAGTCTGTAGACATGGTGTTCTTAGTATCTAAATACCGAATCAAATTATATTTATTAGTTCTAAAGTTATAGGGCATAGGAAGTTCCTATTAGGACGTTTATTATTACATTTATTTTGGACGCTCTATTAAACACTTTTGATTTAATGTGCATGAAAGTTGTTAACCTCCCAAGATATCAATTACTATTATAATTGTATATTTTAAGGCACTTTTATGAAACATGCATTACTTAATAATAATTTAAAACTTGTTGATGTAATTTATATAAATCAAAACACACATGTATGTTTGTTAAATTACTTGAATATGTGGTTTGCGATTAAATGTTAATATACCGTATATTAAAAAAATGAAAAAAGTTTATATCAATTCCTACATTATTCTAATTATTAAGTAAATTAAGTAATTAATTATATTTTATTTTAGCGCAATGAGTATTGGATTTGTATTTCTAACTTTATTTATTCATTGTAATATCTCATTTGTGTTTTGTTGGAATAATGGCGTCAAAAAACCAAATATTATATTTATTGTAGCAGATGATTACGGTTAGTATTATACTCATTTATTCGGTTTCATTCACAAGATACATGTAAGGGGGCGGTCACTTAATTTTGCGTATGCGGTTTTTATCATATCACTTAAACTAGACGAGATAATTTGATTCTGTAAAGAGAATTCAATAGAGCCATATACGATGCATCTATTGCATAGCCGGTCAATATATTTTGGTCACTTGGCATACAAAATATGAGACAATTTTGAATCATAATGTTATAGGTCTAACGGTTGGAAATATAGAGATGGTCTCAATGTATAATCTGTAAATTACTAAAATCGGACATATACACTTACACTTTGACTGAAATTTTATCTACTATTTTGCAAATGTTAATATTAGATATTTTAATCAAAAATAGTTCTATATAGTTCAAAGATAGAACAGTTTCTTGTAATATATGACGGTTGGTCATGCTAATTTGAATTGGTCTATAATTTTGAACAGTTTTAGAATTTTAAACAAATTATTTAATCAATATTTTAAAGATAAAATTGAATTTATAAACATTTTTTATTAATAAAAAATCACATGCTGTATGACAAATAGGTTGGGGAGACGTCGGCTTTCACGGCTCACAACAGGTGCGGACACCAAACATAGACCTATTGGCCGGAAGTGGTATTATTTTGAACAACTATTACGTGTCGCCTATTTGTTCGCCATCGAGAAGTGCAATCCTCACGGGTTATCATCCCATCCATACGGGAGAGCAGTACAGTATCATTGGAAATGACAGTCCGTGGGGAACACCGCTACAATTCCGGCTACTCTCGCAACACGTCAAACATCTAGGTTACGAGACACATATGCTGGGCAAATGGCATCAGGGATTTTTCAAACGGCAATACATACCAACGCAACGGGGATTTGACACACATTTTGGTTATTGGACTGATTTGGAGGGCTATTATACTCGACAGGACGAGGGTGGGTTTGACTTTAGGCAAAATGAGAATAAGGTAAATCTAACAGAATATGAGGGCATCTATTCGACCGACATCTACACAAATAAAGCCATCGATTTTATTAACCGAAGGGGAAGTGCGGGAAACTCTACAAAACCCTTATTTCTATATCTGGCCCATCAGTCGGTGCACAGCCCTAATCAGGCGCCGCAAACATATATCAATCAATTCAATGATATCTCAGACACCAATCGACGCACATTAGTGGCAATGGTATCGGTTTTGGACGACTCGGTGGGCGATATATTTGCCGCACTCCTAAAGGCAAATATATTGGACAATACAATCGTTATATTCACGACAGACAACGGGGCGCCCATTAATGACTTTGGATCTAATTGGCCACTAAGAGGTTTGCATTTATAAATAATGATTTTTAACCACAATTCATTTATAAAAAATGTGGTTTTATGGTATATTGATAGGCGGAAAGACCACACTATGGGAGGGCGGCATTCGTGGCAATGCTTTCATATGGAGTACACGCCTAAAAAAGAGATATATTAGCGACCATTTAATGCATGCAATGGATTGGTTGCCCACAATATACACCGCGATTGGGGGTAAAACACGAGATTTGGGACCCATTGATGGCATCGATATGTGGGATATTCTTAACCATAACTTAGAAAACCCACGAAAACATTTATTGCATAATATAGACCCAATTGATAACAACTGGGCGCTCAGGTCAGGCGACTATA